ATGAGCGCCAAGCACGCATCGTTGGCTAGAGCACGTGTTGACGATTTTCACTGTCTCCGCACGGTCCGCACGGACTGCAGCGGCGCAAGGTATCGAAGCAACCTTACGCTCACAGCTGCGATTACGATTTCACTCGTGAATCTTGGCACCTAGCCCATCACCTATTCGCTTGTCGCAGGGAGCAGACCACTACGGCTGTTTCTGCTCTTTGAAGCCATAACGGACGGCGTGCGCCACAAGGTGGCGCACGACTATTTCTTTTGTTTTTGGAATGTTTCTAGCAATCTTAATATACCCATATATACTCTCAGCAATGTGGAATAACATATCTTCCCAGGACCTGGACGGCTGGATTTTTGACAAACCTACAATAAATTTTACATACATTTTGTCTTAATTTACATAAGTTTACTATTTGATGGGTGGCTTACCCATGGTTCGCACGTCCCGAGACCCCTTCCCCTAAATATAGCCACATCCTTGCTCGGGGTTGTTGTTTCGCATTTTTCGATAATGTCACCTACAGCTTCCATTCATTCTTTGCACCCTAGTTTTAGAGCGGAAAGGCGGGCTACGAACTTGTCGTCAACGGAAATCTCTTTTTTCGGATGATGAGACTCCGACACCTACTTTAGCCCCGTCTTACCCCTGCTGTTCACATAAGCCTACATAAACCCTACCCTGGGTGGCGGCGTGCGCCACATGGTGGCGCACGCGAAAAATACACTGGCCGTCCGTTATGGTTAAGTGGCCTCGTGTTGCAAGAGTGTGTGGCACTTCCGCGTCAGCCAAATTCGCGACGCACGATTGGCAAATTCTGACTCCTGCCTGAAGAAGTTCTGATTTTTAATACATCGAAGTATTTCCAGGATCCACGAATGAGTGCACCACACCAAGTTATAACAGGTGCTTTGAATAGAGGAGAAAATGTCTACGCTACTGGTAGTGTCGAAGGAGCCACATTTATAGTGAGTCTGTTTTATTTAATTTCACACATCATTTAAGAATGTACTTCGCTTGATATTTCTTGTCAAGAGCGTAGGAACTCTGCAAATTACTTCGTAATTTGAATTCTGGAGCAGTACAATATCTCATTAAAAAAAGGTATGCCTGCTGCAGTCGGGCTCATTCTCCTAGCAAATCAATAGTAATAGTGGTAGTGAACGAAGTGGAAGGACTTGGGTGTGGGTGTGGTGTGGTTCACTAGGACAGAAAGCGACTTTTTCGCGTTTCGCGCGCGAAACATTTTTCGCTGCGGGAACTCCAGGTCCACTCATGATCAGCGGTGGACCTGAGGTTCCTGCAGCGAAAAATGTTTGCGAAACGCGAAAAAGTCGCTGCCTTCTGTCTAGTGAACCGCACGCGAAGGACGTTATAAAGAAGGATCATTGGAACTGAAGCCATATTAAATGTTCCGGATACGAGCAAGTGACGAGGGCTGACAAGTACAGCGGTTCCTACGACGGTAAATTAACGCTAGGGCATAGGAAGAGTCTTCTACCTTTTCTCTTTGTCCATTTCGTGTATCTCTCAGAGACGACAGCCTCTTTATGCTCCTTACCTTCTGTGAAACTCCTTGAAATGGATGACGGAAGTGAAGTTTGCACGATAAAATGCTTTAAAAGGCCTGCCACAATAACTGAGCAAGAATGACGTACATATGGAGTCCAAGTAGTATAAGTAGAGTTTTAGCGGCTTTAGGGTACTACTATATTTGCTCCCCATCTTAAAGGCAGCGGTACCTTTAATTCGGCTGTTACTGAGGTGACAATATGCCTATTATAAAGAAAAGCTGTCAGCCTAAGAGGACACTTCTCGTTATAGTAGGCTTGTTTTCCTTCATGAATAGCGAAGTGTTTACAGTAACGGAGAGGAACTGAGAAATGATGTTGGGATGTGTGCCGCGAACTGAATGAAAACTGAATGAAATCGCGGCCGTGCCTAGAACCTGTTCCTTGAAAGTCTTAGGATAGTTCCGAAATCGAACCTAGAATTTTTGTCGTGGGCACCCATTCGTCAACCGTGTTGGGGCTGTCCAACTCGCTGTGTGCCACTTTACTCTTCTTGCATCCCACCACAACCCAATCAAGCTTGATCTGGCCTCTCTGTGATTCTTCGGGTACTGAATTTCCTCTCACTATAGAAAAGAAAAGCAAGCAGACCGACATAACTTCCTACACGTAGATGGAGGGCCATAGCAGTGTCGAACAGTGCTTGCGACATTGGACAACCTGTCAAGTTTGAGTGTGGAAAGAAAGCACACTATATAAAAGTTACAGCCTAAAAAAGTTTTATTTGTTTAGGTTTGTGCAGTAGGTAGCGATGTTGTTATACTTGACGCTGACTTCTCCAGAGTACAGGTAATTTATTTGATCTCAACTGACTAGTATTTCCATAAATTTCTCTTCTAGGTGATACCGGGATGCTCTCGTGGTGCTAAACAGCTAGTTAATAGCGTCAGCTGCTGCCAGGATTCTGGAAAAGTAAGAATTTTTGTTAGCTGCACCTGCAGAATCTTTTAACTATTGATGGTGAAGAAACTCTCAATTGAAAATATTCTGCTGCGTCAAGGTTATTGTTCTGTCTACAGATCAAGTTTAGTGCAAACCAAGCAGCATTCAAATGTTATCAGATGCGATAAGTATGCTCGAATAAGTCCTTTTGAAGGGTTCGTAACTGCAGTTAAAACCAAGATGAAATCCAGTTCACAGAAAAGAAGATAGCAGTCAGTTTGCACCTTCTTCCTCGGTTTTCACAGTTCTCGTTGACAGAAGTAGTGGTGTGTAGGTAATCTTATGACGGAGAGCGGATGGTCATAAAGGCCATTCTCTCTAATGCTTGTCCCTGCTCTGGTTTAAGTTCGCGATAGGGCGTATTTGAAAGTGTTAGGTTGAGCCATGAGTAGTGATCGGATGTCAAACTTTGAAATGACCGTCCGTTGAGATTGTCTAACGGCCGACGGATTTTGCTCGCCGCCATTTCCGTCACTGGATGCCATGAAAAATAATATCATGGCCTCTATTGGTAGGTCAGATTAATGAAAGGCATTCAAAAGTCTCTATTTAATCTTTTTCTGTAATAGGTATTACCAGAACACCTTATACAGATGTCAGACCAACAGACCGGTCCGCAGAAAACAGACATATGTATTATTTTTTCAGATCGCAGCCACATACGGGAACACTATCAAAGTATTCGAACCGATGAATACTGCCTGCGAAAAGAAACGAGCGGTGAGACCTTCATCAAATCTTTCCTCGTACGATGCGTTTTTGAAGTATATTCATTTTTGTAGGTTTTGAAGTTACCAGTGGATGGAAACGCAATGCTTCACAGTAAAAGAGCGTGTAAACTTCGTACTTTGGAACATGGATGGTGAGAAACTTTCTTTGAATGATTTCATCCCACTTCTTTAACGCTGTTTTCAGGACTTCGCATGACAGTAGTGATTGGTGATGAGTTATTTCTTTACCAACATCGAAGTTTGAGCTGTGTCGTTCGACCTGGTTCTACCGCGCCAGTCATGTTTTGTATATCAGAAGAGGTTTGCGAATACTACTCTGCTCAGTTCTTTCAAACTCTTATCACTGATTACCTAGGACAATTTTCACGATGCCTACATGTGGGATATTGTTTGGTCAGTGCAATTAGGCCAGCAACCAAAATATATTAAGTATTCTCCTGATGGTGTATTCCTCGCTATTTCTGGTGAAAATGACCATTTAGTAAAAATCTTTTATCAGGATTCTTTTGGTGAGTTCAATTTTCTCGTTCAGATTCTAGGAAGCAATTCCGCTTATAACTTATTCTGGCTTCCATATTTTTGTCAATATTCATTATTCGGTTTATACAGACAGCCAAGAGCATCTTAGCTTTGGTTCTTTCGTTCTTAACCACCCAGCGCCCGTCCGAGGATTTGAGTGGAGGCGGATTGGGAGATATATGCCGCGGTTAGTCTGTCACAAACATCTTTCTCTCCTGCACGTGTTCCTCTTTTTTTTAAGGAAGTGTATCCAAACGGTGTTAATGACATGGTGTGAAGACAATACATCACGAATTTGGAAGGAATCGCCGTTCCAGGAGCTAACAATAAGCGATCTCTGCGGTGATGGAGGTTTGTTGCATCTTGGGCGCTAGTATGGATAATGCTGCAAAATGAGATTGTCCACTATCCTCCACATATAACACATATTTTATAAAAGAGCCATTACAAGCAGGAGACTGTTTTTTGAAGGAACCGGTGCTTTTTGGATGGGGAACGTTAAACTCATTTCGACAAGGCTTGATTTCGCATGTTTGGATAATAGGAAATTACAAACTAAATCAACTCAACACCTGTGTGTCTTTTTCTTGCAAATTTTCCTGGTCTTCTTTACATTTATTCCATAGATAATATTTCGGAATACCGAAAAAGGCGAGGTCCTTGTTTGATTTGCCGCAGCTTGGTACAAATGGAATTCTTAGAACTGTAATTGTTACTGCTGAATAATTTCATTCATTCAGGTGAAGTATCCTGGGAGAAAAATAGGCCTCGAAAATTTTTTGGGAAGCATTTCCGAGTCAAAAAGATCAGGAATAGGATCGTCAACAAGCTGAAAGGGATCGTGTACGTATTTTGCAATTTATACGGAAGGTGTTATCGGTGTAATGTCTTTCCTTCAGTTTCAAACTGCATTTTACATATTACAGGTCAGAAAGGAAGCGTTATAGTGAGGAGTCGCTCAATGCCTTTGGGTCTGAGGGCCCAGATTGGGAAAAGCCCTTCATTTAGTGATTTGCAGTCAACGCATTATTC